CAGTTATTTCTATCTTTTGCTGTAGTGTGTCAGTAGGAAATATCAGTTTACATTTCCAAACATTTATTTTGCCATTAATTGTAATAATCCAGTGAGATTTTTGTTTGCACAAGGAGTCTGACAACAAGCAGTGCTCCACACAGAGATCTGATCTCAGCATCATCCAGTCCGCCTGAAATGACATGAAGAATCAGAGAAACTGAGACCGACTAAATCCAGAAGAACTGCAGCAACATCTCCAAGACACTTGAAGAAACCATCCTACAATCTACAGTACTGTGAAAAGTTATAGGCACTTGTGTAAACGTTGTAAAGTGAGGATGCTTTCAAAAATTATGTCATAAATTGATTTTATTTATCAATTAACTTCTATTAACTAAATCAAATCAACATTTGGTGCGACCACCCTTTGCGTTTAAAACAGCTTTTGTCCTAGTTACACTTACACATTTTTCAGGTAGCTTAGGACGGTTTCTTCAAGTGTCTTGGAGACGTTGCTGCAGTTCTTCTGGATTTAGTCTCTCGTTTTTTTCTGATTCTTCATGTCATTTCAGACTGACTGGATGATGGTGAGATCAGATCTCTGTGTGGAGCATTGCTTGTTGTCAGACTCCTTGTGCATACAAACATCTCACTGGATTATTACAATTAATGGCAAAAGGAATGTTTGAAAATGTAAACTGGTATTTACACACTACAGACTACAGCAAAAGATAGAAATAACTGCCTTAAACCCATTTTTGTTGGTGAAAATACTAATGACTTATGCATTACTGTAGTGACTGTAGTGTTTAATAATGGAGAAAACGATGAGGCACTCAGTTAGAATGCAGTCAAGTGGGACAGATGGCAGAGAGAGAACATACTGTAGTGTTTAATAATGGAGAAAACGATGAGGCACTCAGTTAGAATGCAGTCAAGTGGCCTTTCATTGACAGATGGCATAGTCCTCATCACACCTAGCCTACATGATGCAGATAACTAGTGTGGTGTGTATATAATTTGCATACAACAGCATTTACTCACGAGTCATGCTTAACAGCATTCCATTCTTTTACTATGGCATTACACAGTTACATAAACTGCTGTAAAATTTGCGTAAGTTAAATTCAGTTTCATTTCAGTTTGCACCAGTGGATCTATCTTTTATATCCGTCTCAAATAACCTTGGATAAAACCTCGAAACTTATAACTTCTCAGTGGTGCAACATTTCGAACTTTAAATCAAACCAAATTGTTCCCCATACTGAAAGGGTAAAAATTTACATCATATCTTCTGGATATCCTTCATCTAAAAAAATGTTCCTTTAAAAATCCCCTTTATAAATAATAAATAAGAGACTTTTCTGGGGGGAAAAATGCAAACAGCCAAACAACAATAATAGCTACTTGCGCCTACAGTGTATGTCTTTCTTTTTGCAGGCAAATAACTGAAAAATGAAGCGTGCAGCCTCTCAGATCCTTCAGAAGAGACAAATCCTAGGTTACTGCAGAATGTAACAGGTGTCATTGTGTCAGTCACTGAAAATGAAGTCAATGGCTCCACCGAATGATGGTTTTCTTCATTAACATCCTCTCTACACTGCAAGCGACGAACAAAATAAGAACAAGCTTGCTTGACAGACGACCATCTCAGGGTTCCATCCACAATCCCAGAAGACGCGTCGCGTGCTTCCAGTGTAAACAGCTTCATTTGTTACAAACAGCGTAAATTGACTAGCTACTTTGCTGCAGCAATGTTTTTGTCATAAAAGTTGTTTTCGGGCATGGTGACCCGCACTCTTCGTTTCTCTTTAAAACGGCCAGACCGTGAAACTGTCCAATTCCTCCGGCAGGTGTATTCACTGAAGGAAGGCTCCAGCTGAGAGTCGTCGTACGTCTCGTCGCTGATCAGACTGCCGTTCTTGTTCTCGCTGCCGGTTTGTTTCACTGACGTCTTGTCCGCATTTCCAAATTCCTGCTGGCCCTCTTTAAAATGGTTCTTATTTTTTCCAGTTAAGTTTTTCCACCAGGAGTATCTGTCTGCCATTCTGTCTAATTCTTCAATTCACACTGAAATGCATATTATTAATGTTTATAAAATGTTTACAATTTTTTTTACAAACTTTTTAATATGTATTTTTATGCATAGGCTACAATATATAGTTTCGTTACTATATGTTTGTTTATCTATCTATCTCTAGTCAGTTTAACTCATCAGACTTTAATTTTGGCATTTAAAGTGAAACTCTTATCATCGATCTATCTATCATCTCTATGCTGTACACATAATCATTTAAAACATATCATGAAAATTAAGCATAACCTCAAGATAAACTGAAATGTATTTATTTATTTTTTAACAAATCTATACCACCTTTCAGAAACACTCACCTCAGCTTCAGGTGTGTTAATGTTAGTCAGAGACTGACTGTCGAGTCTTTTGTTTATTTTAAGAAAACATCCAGCAGAACAACCTTGTAGCTTTTCTGTCTATATCTTTACCCACAACATCATATAATGCTGCATCCCTCTGTCTAAACTATAATGAGTGATGAATTCATTCATTTATAGTTCACCTGCTGCTCATACGCCCTCCTTCCGCTCTCTCATTGGTCTGTTGAGCTGCTGCTGCTGCCCTCAGGAAGCCGGTTTCAGGTTCTCACTTCACCTGTGATTTGGTGAAAAAGTCACTTTGGGGCATATACCAGCTCAGCTGTCTGATACTAAAACAATGCTGCCGTTCACACCCCTGAATTTGGAACAAGAAAACCAACGCCTAAAGAGAGCTGACCAAGCACTAATTACAGCAACATATTTCACATACTGCAAATGTGAGGTGTTGCAATTTCAAGTAATAATACACAAACTACTTTCAGAAGTTCATTTTGACTGTCATTAAGTCGAGAATCAAGATTTAAAAGTAACCAGATTTACATAATTTAATAAATCAGCATTTGATAAATTACCATCATAATTACAATCATTCTTCACAGAAATATATATTTTTTTAAAAATGTAGAAAGGTATTTTATCAAATAAACAATTTGAAGGAACTCAAAGCAAGGTGACTGTACCATTTGTGGACATTTTTTTTTTCGAGGTGAATGGCTGATTTCACCTCAGTAGTCCAAGATGAACACAATACACGCAATTTTGTTTAGCAAAATTCTTGAAATGGGATCAAGTCCAAGGAGGAAGGAACAAGCACTAAATAAAAGATCACAGAACCATTTTGTCCATTCACTGGGTGATGACGGAGATTACTTAATTGTTGTCAGGGCGAACAAAATATAATTTGAAGGAGGCATGGGTAAACACAGCATTAGTGAACAAAAAAAAAAAAAAACTATTTACACTCCATGTAAAATTAAAAAGTGCTTTGAACATGATCTTAATTGCCTTGCCATTATAGCACACATACATTTACCAACCTCATTACCCAAAAATATATAATTTTTTTTAAATCACACTTGACAATATGTCAGTTTTGCAATGTTAATTGACCATAGATTCATAGAGTTTATCGTGTAGAGCATCAAGGTCAAAGCATCATAGTTATTTGGCATCCGAGAAAAAAGGTACTGTGATTTAAAGGAATCCACCCAAAAAATACAAATTTGCTTACAATTTAATCACCCTCAAGCCATCCAAGATGTAGAAGAGTTTGTTTCTTCATCAGAGCAGATTTGGAGAAATGTAGCATTACATCACTTGCTCACCAATGGATCCTCTGCAGTGAATGGGTGCCGTCAGAACGAGACTCCAAACAGCTGATAAAAACATCACAATAATCCACACGACTCCATTTTATCAATAAACATCATCAATTAACATCTTGTTAAGAGCTTTTCTCTTAATTGATGGACTGGAGTCGTGTGGATTACTATTGTGAATGAATATTGTCATGTTTTTATCAGCAGTTCGGACTCTGAATATGACGGCACCCATTCACTGCAGAGGATCCATTAGTGAGCAAGTGATGTAATGCTAAATTTCTCCAAATCTGCTCTGATGAAGAAACAAACTCATCTACATCAAAATTTTCTGCAAACTTAAATTTTTGGGTGAACTATTCCTTTAAACAAAATGCCCATCAATAATAATTAACTCTGTATTCAGCACGAATGTTTATTTACTCCATGCTTAACAGTATTTGTTTGGGGGATTGAAACACATTGAGTGAAATGTGCAATTTTTTAGTCCAAATTTTCTACGCAAAATCTGAAGAGGAAACACGTCTTTGAAATGTGTGGCAGGCTGCTTTTTAAAATGTACACGCTCTTTAAAGTCTTTAAAAGATGTCTTCATTTCAGCTGTTTAAAACAAGATGTCCTCATGCTCTATCAGGAGCTGAACTATCAGTTTCTGGTATCTCATGTCGTTGAGAGTGGCGAGTGTGTTCTGGTCCGGGGGCTGCATGAGCGTCGGGCCAAAAACGATTCCTAGGTTCTCTGAGTTCATGTAATTGTCCTTCTCGTACATGGTGACCCTGATAAACAGAGAAAAGACGTGGAAAAAACGCCTCAGACAATACAATTTTGATAATAAACATGCAAACTGATATACTTTCCATGGATGGAGAAATGTGGCAAAGCTGGCTTGGCAAGTTAGAGGTAAAGCACAAATCCTTGAGGATCATTGTGTAGGTTTTTTAGTTCCTGAAGTGCACTGAGTTAAAGTGCCGTATTGTGTTTCCTGTTTCCTTCTAATCAGTCTTATAAGTTTTATATTGCATGGTGACAGGAAGTAAAATCACTCTATGAAGCCGCAGGGAAGGTTCTTAAATGGAACAAAAACCTGAACACCCACCGGCTCAATGAGGTACAGAGCCATGTAATGAACTATGGGACCGGCACCTAAGGGAGCAGTAAATGTAGGTGGAAATTCAATACATTTGCCATTTTACCTCTTCAGGTGTGTCATCAGATACCGCAGGGTCTCATAGTGGGCAGGAGGAAGCTGGAGAAGACCATCATGAACTGCCTCCAGTCTAGAATCAGGGTCTGTTATTTCTGATAACAGAAAATGTAAAAAATACTGTTTAGAATTGTGCAAAGTCAGTTTTTCTGCTAAAACTGTCCCCTATTCCATGATGTTATAGCACAGTCCAAAATCTGAGACCACTAGTGAAATTATTTATTTTTGTATCATTATACTTTTATTATTGTTTTTCCATTAACAAGTTATTTTTTAATGTTTGCTCTTATGCTCACCATGGCTGCATTTATTTGATCAAACGTACAGTATAAAAAGTAATGTTGTGAATTTTTATTACAATTTAAAATAACAATTTATCTATATATATTTTTTTTAATTCTTGTGATGGCAAAGCTGAATTTTCAGCAACATGTTGATTTGGTGCTCAAGAAATGTCCTATTATTATTAGAAATATCCTATTATTATCACTTTTGATTGGGCTGCTTAATATTTTTGTGGAAACCATGAGATTTTTTTTCACAATACTTTGATGAACTGAAAGTAAAAAAAAAACAGCATTTATTGGAAATAGAATTATTGTGTAACATCATAAATGGTTTTGTCACTTTTGATCAATTAAATCGTCCTGACCCCAAACATACTGGACTGCTGAATAAAAGATTGATTGATTGATTGGATTCATTCATTCATAAATGTACTAATTAATTGTCATTAATTAATTAATTCATTGTCATAAATTATTTATTAAGTGTCGTATCAGAATCAGAGGGTATTTAATGAAAAGATCAAAGTAGTTAAAAAAAATAATGATCATCAAAACACAGAATACAAGAGTAAGTTTCTAGTTAATTATAACTGATATATAATTGATCTTTTATAATTAATACATAGTTATAAAAGTCTCTTACTGGCTGCTTGTATGAATTTGGAGTAGACGTCATATGTGATAACTGAAATGGGCAGATCTCGCAAATAAAGCTTCAGAGCTCCAGCTATTATATTGATGTCTGGGTACATATTGGCACTGATGTCTGCCTTCTCACCATCTGCAAAGTAGAATTAGTTATCTGTTATGAATAACAGATTAATCACTATACTGTATAAACAATACATTGTTTTGGATGGAAAAGCATGGGTTTTTCCATCCAGGTTGCATGTTGATAAAATAACAGTGATATATAAAGGATTGTGAGTTTATTTAAGCATGTAAGCGAATGTGGAGAGACCAAATGTTAGCTGAACACCTATAATACACCTGATAATGAATAATGTGAAGGTAGAACAGTTTACTAATACAAACCTCTATCGAAGGCCAGCCGGACATCTTCAATGTGTTCTGTGAAGCCTGACACTCTGTAGAGACCCTCTGATGTCAAACCTGGAAAAAGCAGAAGTAACACATACAGTATATACTTCAACTATCCAGTAAGTGGAATTGGAGGTAAACATGTAAATTAGTATTAACCAAACTAGGGCTGCAACCAACAGCTAATCAGAAAATCAGTTAATCTTTTTATTATCCTTTTGATAAACTGGATATTTTGCATCTTGCCCAGTTCATCTATCATCAAATCACATGTGTGTATAGGAATGACATCCCTGATTCTTTCATTATGGAAAATATATGTGGGACTGTTCTACAGTCCTTCTTCACTCATTTTAAGATTCTTCAAAAAGATAGGCGTTCAGTATTTTGTCTAAATTTGAATTTATTTTATAATTGTAATAAGGATCTCCTTGTGAGGGACCATCTTCATAAAATACAAAAGCAGCTATATAATATCATGCGTAAAGACTGTGCAAGTAAAAAAAGTGTATGATTAGACAAAAATGTAAATGCAAAGTTAAATTGGATTTTATACTGTCATTATACATAAGCCAAAACAAATGATTAAAATCTAAATGGATCACAAACATAATACTATCTAAACATATAAAAAAAAAACATATTATAGAAATGTAAATATATATTCATACTTATTTGTTTGTATTTGCAGCTTTACACTGTAATAATACATATTTTGTAATATGTAATAATATGTAATATGTATATGCCATTTAAATCAGTACTTTTAATGTTTTAATAAGTCTTCCAAACTCCAGTGAGCAAGCTAAAGGTGACAGAAAGAATGTCAACACATCTTCACAGCAAGAAAGTTGAGATGAACAGTAAAAGAATATTTCTTTTCACACTAAAATCATATTTGTTTTTATTTCTAGCAATGTTTTTAAAACTAGGGCTGTCAATACATAAATCGTTTTTTTTTATACTTTAATTTTTATACTTTTAAATGTTGAAATGTGGAAAGTAGCATATTTTAGTCTTCAGGCATTTGAGAAATTTTCAGTCTTCTAGGCTAGCACACATGAAAGAAAAAGACATATTACAATACAAATACAAATACATATTTATATTATATATTATATTTCTCTATGTAGAAAGAAATTGATTGAAGGTTAGGTTAGTTATCTAAGGATTCTTCTTTTTGCACACCTTGATATATGACAAGGAGACGTCAGAGCCGAGTGCAGCTGCCTACAGACAGTGATTAAGTGCCTTACTGAAGGCCACAGGTGCTAGAGAAGATCTGAGCCTGAGATCTCCATATTAAAATGTTCTAGCACTCCATTTTAGAAGCGATATTTACCTCTGTGCTCAATCTCTTTGATACACATGTCCAGAACCATCGGCCGTGGCGTGTTGTGGGCTTTGACCAGTGTGGTGAGATCGCAGCTGAAGACCTTCTTGATCCTGCGGAGGTCCGGCTGACAGTCGCTGGGCACTAGTTTGGAGCACTGTTTGTGCACGTTCAGCCCGCAGTCTGCAAGAGTAACGTGTCAAAAGGTTAGAAGAGTATGACCCTGTTGTCTCCAAAGAGGCAAGAAGACAGGCTCCAAGAGAATGGAGACCCAAAGCGTCTACGTGTGTGTGTCTAGGGGTCTGATGGAGGGTATATCTTCAGGGGTAAAGTATACGTGAGGAAACAGGTGCGTGTCAGTCAAACTGGGTGGTAAATATTGAGAATATCTGTCACATGCTGCTGTGTGTTTGTGGCTCTGTCAATCTGAGAGCGCAACCTTGAGTGACTCTGGGTGTGCTTTCCAGCGGGCCGACATACATATACGTATGTGCGTGCAAGTGTCCTCTTTTCATGTGTGTGATGGACACCTGCTAAATTGAAAAACAATTATTCTGCTCTTGCCCCCGAATACACTGAGTCAAGACTGAAGTTTTGTGTCCGATTGCCACACATATTTTGTTAATTTGAATCACCATAAGGAATCTGTGGCCATAAAGTTCAGCTGAAAAAACACAATCCAGGTTTGTTCATTTGCTTTTCAGCAACACAATAAAGTTAAATTTGTTAACAGTACTTAATGCATAGGTATCATGAACTAACAGAACACAACTATATAATTATTACGTTTTGTGGCTATACTATTGAAACTGAGTATTTCACCATTTATGGACTGGCCTCATCCACTTCCATTGGGTTATTATAGTTAACTAAAACTAAAACCATTCAATATTCATTTTTGGGTGAACTTTAAGTTAGAAATGTACTATTTATTACTATTTGTTCATGAACAAATGTTAACACATAAAACCTTACTGTAAAATGTGACCTTTTTCCATATTACTGGTGTTTGCTCATAATCAGGGTTTGATATTTGAAAAAAAAAAAATCCTTTAAGTATTAAACTTCACCATGTGTAATGTGCCCCACACAATTTGTGCTATATACATGAATGATACCTCAAATTATGTGGCATAAGTTCAGGTGTTTGAACCATAATATATTATGAATAGAATATATAAAGATTAGAGCATCATTAAAACTTGCGTTTTTTTAACTGAAGAGAGTAAGCAACCTAGCAACCATCCAGAACACACTAGCAACCACATAGCAATGCTCTGGGAACCACACCCAGCTCCCTAGTCTCAGTGGCGATGTTTGCATTTCATGCAGTCCTCATTTTTTCTTCCGAAAATGTAAAATCTACTTAGAATTGCATTTGAAAGAGCTTTGCTACCAATAATGAGTGCAAACCTCTCTCTTTGACTCCACAATTAGAACATGCGGAAAAAAAATGAACCGGTTTTATGTCATTTAACTTGTAAGAATCCTGGTTTTATACCCTGCTTTGACACTGGGACTGTGTGTGTATGTAGGGGCAGTGTTGGGAAGGTTACTTTGGAAATGTAATAGGAAGACAAAACTACAATAGCATATTTACAGATGAAACTGACCTGCACTTGAAAACCCTGAACAGTAGTGTTGCTTCTCTGCTCCATCTGTGCGCTTCCACAGTCCACTCCATTCTCTCTCTCGCATTGATTACTCTGAACCAAACCGTTTGGCGGAGGCGAGCCGAAGCATTGCCAGTCACGACAAACCGATTCATGATTTATTAGAGATTTAATTATCGAATGGCGAATTCGGAAATAATCGCTTTAGTACATTCGTCAGGCAATTATACAATAATAATATTAAAATATCGGGCCAAATCGGCTGCCAGGACACCGGGAATTGTCCCGGTTCTCCCGATGGCCAGTCCGCGCCTGATTTCCACAGACACGCAGAACGTGTAGGATTCATATATTGTCTATTTGCGGCTTAATATTCACAGACACTAGTCCATATCGCGTTTTGATTCAAGTGCACTGACCTACTTTTGATTTATTCGTCCAAAATGTGGCATATTCCGTCCGCGTTAGGCTATAGGAATTCTGTTTTTATGACTGGATTCTACGAACCGGTCTGTGTTTTCCGCATCGCGGACATTATAGGGCCGTATGTCTCAGAGTAGTCAGCGCAATTTGGGAAAGAAATCAATTAAATCTGTATGTGGATGTGTGTAAATATTCAAATGTAATCCCCTTTGTAATCGTTAACATTTTCATAAGTAACTGTCATTTAATTACACATTTTTTCTTAGTAACTGTAACTGATTACAGTTACATTTATTTTGTAATTAAATTACGTAACGCCGTTACATGTAACTAGTTACTCCCCAACACTGTGTAGGGGAATGTGGTAGTAGGGTGGTCTGTCTCTCTGTGTGTCTCCAGTAGCATGCACATGCTGTCCTACTGTTCCTCATCTTTAGCAATGTCATTAATCACACTCACTGTCAGTTTAACTGCCTGCATGGAGCCCTCCTTCACATCTCTAGGCCATTGAGAAAAAAACAGAAGAGACAAAAAGAAAAACACTGTGTTCCTCCATATGGGCCTGGGGACACATTCAACTCTGCTCTAATTCTCAATGTGTCTGATGACACTGTCTCGCCTGGGGGCCAGAGTGAAAGAAGAGAGGCTCCTGTGTGAAAATAAAAGGCTTGAATAATGGCCCGAATGGATGAGACCATTTACAGTGTGAAAAACCAACAGTAAAGCCTTGTGACTGAATTAAGTTTATGTACTGAGTGTTTTGGGAAAGTGGTGTCAAACAATAACCAGCTCCATGATAACATGAGATCTGAGCAAACTCGTAATCATGGAATTAAGGTGGATTTGTTTATCTAGGCCACATCTAGGAACATCCTGTATTGAAAATGGTTAAGGATGCCTCACAAAACAAAACAAAACAAAACAAAACAAAACAAAACACTTAAGGGTGATACAAGATCACACTGTCAGGGTTTATTTTGCAATAATGACTGGCTGACTAATTATTCCTTACTAAATGCCACAGCTAACATGAAATATTAATGAACAATACTTTTACAACACATATTATCTTGTTAATTAATTAACAATAATTTATCACTTAATAATATTAGTAATATAGTATTGGTAAATATAATATAGGTTCCTTTCTATATACAAATATTGTATATTTTTAATATAAAGTTGTGTTTATAAATGAAATCCATAGTTCGCCCAAAAAACAAACAAACAAAACATCTTCTTTTGTGTTCTACAGTCATACATACGACATAAGGGTCATAAATGAGGGCAGATTTTCCATTTTTTGTTAACTTTCCTTTTAACATTAGTACATGTGTTATGTCTAAACCTGAATGAACACTATATAACAATAGTTTACTTATAAATTAACCTATATTCACCTGGATTAAAATTAATTCCTACAAAAATTGTTAGTTCATGATTCATAATTTTTTAAGTTGAAAGAATTATCTTTATTGTAAAGCTATTGTATAAATCATATGCATCACTTCTACATAACAACCAATAAAGTGTCATACTTTGTCATACAGTACAGGTGTGTATGCATCTATGGATCTTTTTATATATGTTTATCTGTGTGATTGAAGTGTAGCCTGATGCAATTGGCATTACTACAAGGAGACTGTCCTGGTTTACCTGGGTGTGCCTCTCTCTATAATACTCTATAGTGTACACAGTATGTTCCACTATAAATAGTCAACACTCAACAGAAGGCACTCAACTGGTTTGGACCAGGTGTCATTTAGGAATGCAAAATTCCCACACATCAGCATACTAGTTAAAACCCTTATTGTCCCAGGTATCACTTTCAGTATTTAGCCTCAGGTTGCCACTGCACGTTGGAAAAGTTCTACAGCCAATTAGGCATTGTTACCAGAATGGCACGAGAAATGACCTGGATCCTAAGCGGCCTTTGGATTGTAATTTGATATGAATAATGCTCCTTGGCCGGTGCCATAATTCTGATGGACACTTTATTTGTGTGGGAGGGTTTGTGATTGGTGGAGGGTTACCTGAGCAACGGACGCCCTGGGCGATAAGACCCCACATGAAGTTTGCGCAGTATTCACACCAGTGCGGCCCTCTGAAGGTGTGCACCTACACCAAAGACAAAGCAGTCATTGTGAGTCAAACACACAAAAGTTCACAAACACACATACATACATATTAGTCCAGTCATTCATTCATTCATCTCTACATTTTAATTTCCAGCTAAAGCTCATAATGAAAGTTCCACAGAAAATTAATGATTATATTTCCAGAGTATCTCTCACTGTACCTGACAACTAACAGAGTGTGTCTTGCTTGGACTAGACAAACATACAGACTGGACAAAAGCATTGGACTTCACATTCATAGCTGTATTTTGAAGAAAGAGCCACTGGCATTATTATTTTATAAAATGTGGCAGGTACTGTCCAACATTGTTTAAGTTCAGTATTCTTTTTTTCTAGGGAAACTTAAATTAGATTAAATATAATTGTAATTAATTTTTAAATTTAATTTCAGTTTGCCACCTTGCCTCAGAAAAACAAAACACAAAACAGCTGTGAAAACATACAAAAAATAAACAAACAAACAAATAAATAAAACAAAAATCAAAACAAAACAAAACACAAACATCAAATAAAAACTATTTCATTTCAATTTGCCACTTGCCTCAGGAAATTCAAAACAAAATAAAAGAAAACACAAAACAAAACAAAAATAAACAAAACACACAAAAAAAAAACTAATTCAAACCAAATAAACAAAACACAAATATTAAATAAAACAATCCACAATACAATGATCAAACAAGTTCGGACATGACCAGGAAATGTGACTAAAGTGATTAAAACTTCGTTGTCTGTCATCATGGCACCATCATGGCAAAGTGTTTGTACTCTAACTCTTGGGTCATAGCTCCAAAAATGTTTTTAAATTGACGCATGACTTGATGTGGGAAACGACAGCCAGTGACGAGTGAAGCTGTTGACTGTACTTCTGTGAAGTGTCAACTCCACCTTCTCTGTCAAACCCTCAGACAGCAGCCAAGCACTCAAGGGTCAGTTTGATGGCAGGAAGAACTTCAGAGACAAAACTGCTCCTACCCAAAATTCTGAGGAAATAATCAAGCCTCTAAGTAAAGACTAGAGGGTGGTACCGAAAGAATGTAAATAGGGTGGACCCCCTGTGAAGACACAGCCCTGATTTTTAAATTATAATACACGTGAGTCAGATTACAGGTTTGCGAGGGGAAAATAATGTGTCTGGCATCTGTTACCAAGCTGCTGGAAGTCACACGCAAAGCATGTTCCCATGCACACCCTTGTGCTGTCAAAACACAGCACAAAGATAGACAAAAGAAAAGACGCAACACAGAGTTTTGGAACAAAGCCCAGGTGTATGAATGCTGAAACAGAAATATCATAATGAGAATACTCTGCATCTCAGTCCAGAACTAGTAGCTGTTCCAAAACCAAGTAAGCTGTCTACATTCTAGCTCAAATGTCACCTTATAAGTGACTGATTTGCACCCTACATAGGGCAAAAACTCTGCATATCAGATAAATAGCACTCAATACACATAGCAATATGCAAATAGTCAGTTTGTTTGAGTTTTATTGAATATTTTATATTTTATTGTATTTATTTTATTTTATTATTTTTGTTTTATTTTATTTGAGTAAAAGTCAGGTCTAGTTTTATTTTATTTAACTTTTTTTAGCAATTCAATTTCATTTGATTACTTTTAGTATCAAAATAATTATTTTATAATTATTATTATAAGTATTTACAATTTATTTATAATAAATATTTTTCTTGCTTCGTCCATCATCTTGAATTTATTTTTTCACTAAGCTTGTAACAGCACATTCTGGGATGGATACTTTTTTGATGGATACATTTGGCCAAAAATGATATTTAATAAAAAATATATATATATTATATTTTATTTAATTTATAATATTTAATTTTATTTTTTAACAATTACATTTAATTTTTTATTCATTATTTTAGTATCAAAATATTTATGATGCTTTTTTGATTGATACATTTGGCCAAAACAAAATATCTCATAAGCCAGCATAAATTACATTCCCTTTGAATTGAGAACGCACCAATGATACTTTAAAGCGCTACCTACTGAGTGAGCTCACTAGGTTTTGGGACACAGTCTCTGTAAGAACTCTCATGTGGGAGGTGATACTGAATAATACATGATGCTCTTATGACCGCTGGTGACATAATGAGGAAGATGTTATGAGGAAGCTTCCAAGCGACACGTTGAAGTCAGATGATTGCTTAGTTTTGCTCTTTCAGGGTTTAAAAAGGAAGTCAGATGACCGTACACTGTGTTCATTCTCAGCCTCAGTCATTTTTCAGAAGCTGAAAAGGCATGAAATGGGAGAGGCCATTCAGCAGCTCGGCAGCGAGAGGTTATTGATTTGTGCGATCAATCCAATCAGTCAATAGTGCTGTTAATGGATTAAAAGCCTAGTCAATTAGGCTCATAGGATAGATTTAAGCTTATTGATACGAGGCTCACGGTATGGGTACGGTGCATTTAAATGCTGTCAGCACATAAACATTTGAACGAGACATTAGTATACATTTGAACAACCTCATGTTAATGCCAAATATAGAATGCAATAAAAGTGACTGATTTCATCAGGCCCACAACCAACATGTCAAATTTTGGTGGTTTTGAAAAGAAAAAACAAAAAAACATCCAAACAAAACAATCGCAAACATATATATGCACAAGGCTTTACAAAATATCTTCAGTATGTCCAATATCAACATAATATAGATTAACATAATATATATTAATATAGAAAGTTGACTAAAATAACTGGTAATTCTGCATAAAACATTCATGTTTATGTTAAAATTGATGTTATGTCAAAATGAATGCAATGAAGAGATGACATAGTGAGACTCTGAAATGATGTTTTCATCATATTTAAATAACATTTTTTTATCATATTTTGGTTCATACTGCCAAATGGATGCATGTGAGACTTCAATTAGTAGTTTATGATGAGATTAAAATTTTTTTACTCAGAAATTTTTTTTATTATGATCACCAAGCAGCATTTATTTGATAAAAAAAAACAAAATATAATATTGTGAAATATTACTGTTGCTCAGCCATTGCTCCGGTCTTTATTATCACATGATTCTTTAGAAATCATTCTAATATGCTGATTTGGTGCTCACAAAACATTATCAATGTTATTATCAACGTTAAAAATGGTTGTGCTCCTTAATATTTCTGTGGAAAACTTGATAAAAAAATGTCAGGATTATTTGCTGAAAATAAATTTCTAAAAAACATTATAAATGTCTCTATATATATATATATATATATATATTATTATTATTATTTTTATTTATTTTTTTATAATCAAACTGATCCAAAACTTTTGAACAGTGGTGTAGTTACCATCATTTCGACATGATATAAACATAACACAAACAGCACCCACCTTAAAGTTGTGGATCTTCTCATAGTTGCAGTGTTTCTCCGGTCCGTCCTTGATTGTGGTCCGTCTGCTCAGTGGTGACGGGCTGATCTGTGAACAAGCCAAAATCTTTAGAGGTTTCCAGAGGAGGGCAATACAGTATTATTGTGAAATATTATTACAATTTAAAATAACAGGTTTCTATTTAAATATATTTTACAATGTAATTTATACCTGTGATGGCAAAGCTGAATTTTCAGCAGTCATTACTCCAGGCTTCAGTGTCACATGATCCTTCAGAAATCATTCTAATATGCTGATTTGTCATTCATGAAAATTATTAACAATGTTATTATCAATGTTGAAAACAGTTGTGCTCCTTAATATGTTTTCAGGATTTTTTTGCTGAAAAGAAAGTTCTAAAAACATAATTGATTTAAAATAGAAATCTGTTGTAACATTATAAATGTCCCAATTGTCATCCTTGCTGAATAAAAATATTATTATTATTATTTTTTTATAATATTACTGACCCCAAACTTTTGAATGGTGCAGATATCATAATTCCGACATTACATAACCACAACACAACCAGCACCCACCTTAAAGTTGTGGATCTTCTCATAATTGCAGTGTTTCTCCGGTCCGTCCTTGATTGTGGTCCGTCGGCTCAGTGGTGACGGGCTGATCTGTGAACAAGTAAAAATCTTTAGAGGCTTCCAGAGGAGGGCACCCTTACCGCCCAGATTCACCCCCAGAGCTAACGCCAACAGCTCCTGGTGCTTACGCTCCTCCTGTTTGGCTTTGTGAGGGGCTAATTCACCTTTCGCTGACCCCTTAGTGCCAACAACCTGGGCCCTGGGCCTCGGAAGAGCCTGCATCCCCTCTGTAGAGGAAGACGATAATAATGTGGAATGGGGGATAAAAGCAGGGACTGAGTCAGTCCTCCACTCCTTGGTGATCTGGGTCGAATGAGAAGGGGGACAGCCTGGTCCTGCATGGGCAGGGCTGGGGGTGGGAGGTATGGTGGGTGGGCTGCCTGGGGGCAGGAGTGGGTCTCACACAATAGCATACATTCAGCACTCTGAGAGAATGGCAATGCGAGAGAGAGAGGGAGAAGAGACATTGGGAGGAGTGATTGTGTCAGTCTTGTAAATCCATCTCAGCAGGTTTTTGCTGTGGGATCGATGGAATCCAGAACACAGCGCTTCCAGACACGATTCCACCGCAGTTCCCTTGAGCGAGGATAATCCTGCAGCTCAAAGCCAAAGAGCTTGGCTTTACAAGCAATAAAATCAGAGATTTGCTCTGAGAAGAGTAGGTTCTCTCTTAAAAAAAGGTCTTTTCAGGTCTAGCACTAGTTTAGCCTTCTAGTCCTCTCTCGGTCTCTATACTTCTGATAGTAACTTCAGTAACAAATCAGATCAGGACTGAAGCAGATTTACAATCGTAATCCAGCATCACGGGATAATCCTATAGTGCCGGAATCACTTGTTTCAGGATTCAGACTCGCTTAGACCCCGTTTAAACCTGGTCTTATGATCCATTTCGGGTAATCTAATCAAAAGTGGATGGCGGAAAAATACAAATGTAAACAGGGTGCAAATTATTTTGTGATCTGGATCTCTCAAACCTACAAAGCCCCTAAAGCGAAATTATTATTATTAAACTTTATTTGAAAAGGGACCATGTACAATTTTAACATAAATGTTTCCATTTCATGCATTATACCGAATTTAGCCAATGGCTAGTTTTCATCCGCGGTCCCTTGGCAGGTAATCATAATCACAAATAAACATAAGAACAAAATAACAAACACATACAATTACAGTAATACTTATACACATCCCATCAGAGCCAAAAAAGAACAGTAACGATAACGTTCAGTTAAGCCACAACTGTATCAGTGTTTACAGATTTGGGTTGCTTTTAAACAAAATTTTAGTTTTAATTTAAACATGTCAATAGATGTGCACATCCTTATGTCTTCTGGTAGAGTGTTCCAGTGAATAATAGCTTTCACTGAGAAAGATGATAACCCAAAGGCAGAATGACGAAAAGGAACAACACAATCACTAGTAGATGATGATCTAGTAGATCTTACAGAGACTGTAGAGCGAAAATGCACAAAATCATGAAGTGTAGAAGGGGCTAAACCATTTAAATTTTTATATACCATACACAAATTTGAGAAAAGTCTAAGCTCTAAGTCTAAATGATCAAAGCTCAAAAAAATGTATTTCTCCAAAACCCTACAGTGGTGATACTGGTTAGGCTTTTTGTCTAGAGTTTTTAAGGTCTGTTTATAAAGAGATTTTAAAGGTTTAATAACAGTTTCCCCTGCTTGACCCCAACATGTCAGACAGTATGTCAGATGAGAAAAGATTGTAGCATGCATAAAAGTCTTGGCTACATCAGTGGGTAGACATTGTCTAATTTGTCTAAAATTTATCAAGTTATATTTTATAGTCCTCGCCAATTTCTTTACATGTTTTTTAAAACTAAGATTTGGATCCAGCATTAAACCAAGATAATTAAACTCAGTAACAATTTCTATCTTTTCACCATTTATAAAAATATCTGCATTGGAAGAACACACAATAATTTTAGAAAAAAACATCCCTTTTGTTTTAACAGTGTTCAAGGTAAGACACGATTGTTCTAACCACTGTGTAATACTTTCCATAGCAACATTTAGCTTTTCAGCTGCTAACTCTGCTGTTCTCGCATGTGTAAAAATAACAGTATCGTCAGCATACATTTGCACTTGTATCCCTTCGCACTGCTGTGGGAGATCATTAATGTACAAACTAAATAATAAAGGGCCTAATATTGATCCTTGGGGTACGCCCATTGTACAGTTTAAGTTATTGGAGTGAACCCCTTTAATTTTTACACATTGCTGTCTATTTGATAAATATGATGAGATCCATGCTAAAGCCCCAGATGAATATTGGAACTTAGATAATTTAGAGAGAAGAACGTTGTGATTAACCATGTTGAAGACTTTGCGCAAATCTAAAAATATAGCACCAACTGTTCCACCTAGATTTTATTTGCTCTGTTAAATGTAAAGTAGCTGTTTCAGTAGAATGATTTACTCTGAAACCAAATTGCATACAGTGTAAACCAACCTTAGCTTTATTAAGATAAGATGACAATTGTTCAAAAACTACCTTTTCTGCAACCTTTGAGACTACTGGCAATATGCTGATTGGTCTATAGTTGCTTACCGCAAAATGATCCCCAGATTTAAAAATAGGAGAAACAATGCCTTGCTTCCATGCAGTAGGAAAAACACTATATTCAAATAAGAAATTAATTAGATGAGAGATAACAGGAGCTAAAGTATCTTTATGAGTTTTGAGAAACTTCGTGTCAAATTGATGAACATCCCTACATTTAGTATTTCTTAATGAGCTGATAACTTTGTTAACCTGTGTTTCATTAGTCATGGCTAGGTTAAAACCTTGGCTATCAACATCAGACGGTAGAACAATTATTTCCATTTTTACAAATTTTTCCCCCAGTTCATTTATTTTATGTTTTAGTAAAAATTATTAAAAACAGTAGCAATGGAATAATCATCTAGAATAAAAATTCCTTGAACTTTGATCTTGAGATCTCCTGGAGAATGTATCTCCTTCTGTAGAAGACTATTCAAATTTTTCCAAATCAATTTGCTGTTTCCTTTTGCCTCGTTCAATTGGTGAAGATAATAATTTGATTTAGCTACTCTCAGCTCTCAAATAACTTTATTCCGCAGTCCTTTATAACAAAGCCTGTCGATATCCCTTCCTGTCTTAATAGCCATCTTTAATGCTGAGTCCCTGTTCTTCATCAGCTTCCATAAATTGTCATTGAACCAAGGTAGATTATTTTTATGCCAGATTTTTTTCTGAACTTTTGTAGTGAATTTGTCCCTTACAGAGTTAATCCTATTGATGAGTGTGTTACAGCCATACTCTACATCCTGAGAAGATAATATATCATCCCACTTTAAACTAGCTGTTTCCTCATTGAACTCTACTAGCTTTCCTTTAGGTATACAACAGAAAACATTATTAGAATTTGTCGCATTGTTTTTAAACCTGTTTTTGGTCAGTTTTGATTCATAAAACAAATGTTGATTTTATTATTTCCATCATAAAAGTTTTGCGAGTGAACACAAAGTTTCTTGGGGGAATGCATACTTTTGCAAGAGAACACAAAAGCATTGAAATATAATTTTTCCACATATCTAATATTTTTTTCCATCACCATATCCCCTTGAGGGTCTCCATACAAACCACATTTGAAGGTACACTGAAAATAATTGATTGTAGGTTGGTTTCCTTTGAATTTTGTTTTTTTTTTAGCAAATTTCACAAATAATTACAAAGAAACAGCAAGTAACACATTGAATTAGAGATTAGATTAATTTTGATGTCGAAAGTGTCACGGTTTATGGGCTCACTGACTCATTCTAGCTCTCTCCGTGTGAGTGTGGGTGTGGGTGTGGTTTGTGTTGCCGCTGATCAGTGCCATCAGCTGGTTAGCGCCAGCTGTGGCTGATCAGCGATCCTATTTAATGTCTGTGTTTTCTGTCCTGTGTTGTCAGATCGTCCTATGTCGTTACCGTGTTCAGTTCGTGTCTCTCTGCTTCTGACCAGTTCCTGGAGTTCCTTCTCACCTCTGCCGTGGGCTTCGTTGCACGGATCCTCGATCATCGGGTGCCCGTTGTGTCCCTGCGCTACCCGGAGTTATCTCCGTCTCTCACCTGTCTGACTCTCGTCATCTTTCTGGTTGGGAATTCCCAATAAACGTTGTTTGCACATTCGCTACTGAATCCTCTTTCTTTCCCCCTGACAGAAAGACTGAGATAGTATATCCACTGCAGAAAAACTTCTTTATAGCGGAAAAAGGTTCTTTAAATCATTCAAATGTTCTTCATATCATGGTTCTTTTAAGAAATGATCACTGAAAGGTTCTTTAGGGAACCATAAATTTTTTTTCTGTAGCATCACTAAAAAAAATATTTGGAACCTTGAATTTTAAGAATGTATAGGTGTAAAATGCAACATGTCTTACAGGACCATCAGCCCTTGTCACTGGGTCATCCAAGACGGGTG